AAATAAATAAATAAATAAATAAATAAAAATCTTTAAAAAAAAAGAGAGAAAGAGAATGGAGATTTGAATCCTGCTCTGACTCCAAAACCCCCATCCTTTCTTTCACTATCTGGACAGGCTCTATTTCCATACTTCTTCCCCACCAGCTGAAAAAGGAAAAAGTCAGCAGTGTACCACATCTGGAACTCACAAACAATGATTTCGAAATGCAGGGTATATGTTACCTTGTCAGAATCCTGAATTATTTTAACATTCTCTGTGCCAAATTTTTCACCATAAAGTTTCACGAGTCTCAGGGAAATCTCTGAGAGGCCGGTGAGCTTTGGTTCTTTATAGATGTACTCCTTCCCATCTTCTTCTTCAAAGAAAGACTATTGTAGAGTGAAACACACAATCACTTATAAATAGTCTGAGCAAGCACAGCACTTAAAGAAAGTGTACAAAATAGCTAGCAATAATATATTTGAAATACATTTTAAATAGTACTGAAAGCCACGTGGCGTGTATTCACTCTTTTAACCTCAAATAAGTAAGAATTTTCAAATTCGCCATCATAGGGACATAAAATTGGCCTGAAGATTTCCATACTAGGGTTCTTCTCATTCCCTGTCATGCTTACCTGTTTATTTGAAAGCTTGCAGTGCCAGATATTAAATATATACTTTAAGAAGTTCAACAGAAAAATGAAACTGAGGGAAAAATTCAAATCTTCTATGTTGTACTCTGACCTAATGGATTTAGATATGGAAACCAAAGTGAACTTTACACTTACAGAGCCTCCTGGCCTGCTGTGATCAGCCCTCTATCTAGACACACTCCAAGAACCAGTACCCGCTGCTAGAGCAATCTAATAATTCAAAGGTGAATGTTTAAAAAGAAAAACAACTTTATGAACGGAAGTATACTTACTTGGCCATAAAAGGCAACTCTGAAGAAAGTTCCTAAAAGTCTTTTTTTTGTATGCATAACCTCTAGAACTTTTGTGTAAGCTCCATGAAGAGTTCTATAAACTTGAGTAAGTTTCTGAAAAAGGAAAATATACAAATCAGCTTTGTCTTTTGGTTCATTACTAAATGGCTAAGATACATGCACTGGGTTGGGGGGGGAGGTTTGGGGAAGCAATGCTATTTCCTTTTCAAAATGGTTTTGTTGGGGTCCCTGCCCCTTTGTCACAATTAGACAAAATTCCTCAGCCATGTTGTCTAAGGGTAGAGGGGCGCCTGGGTGGCTCAGTCGGTTAAGCGTCTGCCTTCAGCTCAGGTCATGATCTCGGGGTCATAGGATTGAGCCCTGCATAGGGCTCCCCGCTCAGAGGGGAGTCTGCTTCTCCCTCTGCCCTCTGCCCCTCCCTGCCACTCACGTTCTCTCTCTCAAATAAATAATCTTAAAATTTTAAATTAAAATAAAAAATGCAGATATAAAAATGAGTATACGCCTCAGTGAGGACTGCTTTTATACAAGCTTACAGAAGTTTTCAAAAAAGAGCACCCAGAAAAAGGGAGTAGGTTATTTTCACATTATTAAGAATGTGAAAAGACAACCTATAAAATGGGATAAAATATTTGCCAATTACAGATGTGATAAAGGTGTACTATCAGAAAACATAAAGAACTCTCAGGGGCACCTGGGTGGCTCAGTCGGTTGGGCGTCCAACTCTTGATTTCGGCTCAGGGTCGTGGGATCGAGCCCCTTGTCGGGCTCCATGCTCAGCGGGGAGTCTGCGTCTCCCTCTCCCTCTGCCCCTCCCTCCGCTCATGCTCATGTTCTATCTCTCTAAATAAAATCTTTAAAAAAAAAAATCTTAACAAAAAAAGAACTCTCACAACTCAACAACAAAAAGACCAACAACCCAATTTAAAAATGGGCCAAGGTCTTGAATGGACATTTCTCCAAAGAAGACACGCAAATGGCTAACAAGCACATAGAAAGATGTTCAAAATCATTGGTCATAAGAAAGTACAAATCAAATACCACAATGTGATAACACTTCACATCCACTAAGATGGCTTTAATGAAAAACCCAAAACAACAAGCATTGTTCAGAATGTGGAATGTATACATTGCCGGTGGGAAGGTAAAAGGGAAAGCAGTTTGGTGGTTATGCAAAAAGTTAAACAAAGAATTATCCTATGACCCAGCAATTCCATTCCTAGGTATATACCCAAGATAAATGAAAACATATGGCCACACAGAAACTTACACACGAATGTCTCTAACAGCAACTATTTATAATAGCCAAAAGGTGAAAACAACCCAAATGTCTGCCAGTGGATGCATGGATAAACAAATTGTGGCATATCCATGCAATGGAAAATCATTCAGCCATAAAAAGGAATAAAGCTCTGATCCAGGCTACAACTTGGAATAACCTCTAAATATTATGCTAAGTGAAAGAAGCCAGACACAAAAGGTCACATCTTTTTTTTTTTTTTTTAAGATTTTATTTATTTATTTGAGAGAGAGAGAGAGAGATAGCAAGAGAGAACATGAGTGGGGAGGAGAGGGAGAAGCAG